CCCGACCGACGACTCCCAAGGCTCACTGTACTATGCCCTACGTAATACCGTTACGATAACTGGACTGCCTGACTACGTACTCGTCCAGCATCTAACTATTCTATTCGGCTACATTATGCGTCGCATCGCTGCTAGTAGTCATCATCGACGTACGTCACGTACTCAGTTCGAGCTTCGCTAGCTCACTCTCTGTGCTCGTGACCTGCTCCCTGCTTCGCTCATCTCTCCTGCCTGTCGTCCCTCTCAGCGACGTCTGCTCTCTCCCTCTTGCCGCTCACTCTCTGTTTCTGCGTTGTTCTTGGCCCTTTTTTGATTGCTTCTCTATTCACTTTTTTCTCGCTTTTTCTCTAGTGTCTGTTTTCTCTTGGGTGCTTGCTCTCTCCTAGTAGCCTCATTTCCCCATCCTGCCTCCTTCCCCCTCCCCGTCCGGCCACTCCCTCGCCCCTCTCTCCTAACCCGCATTATTATGTACGACATACATTTGCGGAATCAGGCCTTGTTGCTTTCTTTGCTCTTTGTTTTTTGTTTTTTTCTGCCCCCCCCCCCCCCCCCGACGCGAAATGGAGGAGACGCTGGAGCAGATCCAGGCGCGCCACCGCAAGGAGCAGCGCGACCTCGTGGCGCGGACGACAAGCAAGAAGAAGAACGCGACGAAGAAGACGCGCAAGGGCGTCAATGACGAGTGCGCCGAGCTCGAGCGGGTCCTGAAGGAGAGGCAGGCGGTGGAGCTCGCGGCGGCGGCGGGGGGCGATGGGCGTGCGGACGACGGGGACGAGGACCAGGAACAGGACGAAGACGATGAGGACCTGAAGCGAGAGCAGGCGGCGGCCGATGCTCCGACTGACGAGATCGACGGACTCGCGGGACGGCTGGGCGGGGCGGCCATCACCGAGACGCAAGGCAAGGGGGTGCAGCGGGAGGAGGCGCCTCCGCAGGGAGGCAAGAAGCGAAACCGACAGAAGGAGAGGCTTGCGAGACGGGCGGCGGAGCAGGAGGAGGCGGCGGTGCGGGCGGAAGAGGAGGCGAAGAACATGACGGACCACAGAGGCATCGAGAAGAAATACATGGCCGGTGTGTTCGAAGCCAATGGACTCGTGGAGAAGGACATACAGCCGAATGGGCACTGTCTGTTCTCGGCGGTGGCGGACCAGCTGAAGCAGCGGGGTATTCCGCTGGGGGGTGGCAGTGACAGCACCGAACCGTACCGCATCGTGCGGAGGGCGGCTGCGGACTGGATGGCAGGACGACCGGACGACTACGCACCGTTTCTCGAAGAGCCGCTGGATGGATACCTCACCAAGATCCGGGACACGGCAGAGTGGGGCGGGCAGCTCGAGCTCGCGGCGCTGGCGGCGCGGTACGGGGTCGAGATCAAGGTCGTCCAGGACGGGCGTACGGAGACGATCGAGACGCCAAGCGGCGGCAAGGACGGCGAGGCGGCTGAGGTCATATGGCTGGCGTATTACCGCCACGGCTACGGTTTGGGTGAGCACTACAACTCGCTCCGTAAGACGGCGTGAAAAAAGAACGACTGCGAATACAATTGGATCTACGAATAGCGAGGTCTACGTCTATCCTGTCTTTCGCCATAGCCGGAGGCGATTGACCTTTACGCGCCGACGAGGCTCCACACGTGGAGCCAGTCTCTCACGGTTCCATCTTCGTTCTCGCCAGCCTTGTGAGTGCGAGCGGGCTTGACAAGCTCGAGACGGCGCAAGCCGCCGGGTCTAATATCAGGCACGTTGATGCTGCCGTCGGGGGCCGTCGTGGGCTCTTCGCCGGGACGCGCGAGAAGTGCGAGATACGTATCGTTGGTCAGGCCCCATGGGGGACCAACTTGGGATAGGGGCTTTCCCGAGGGGAATTCGAGACAGACCAGCCGTCCCCCATTGGGATTGAGGAGGGCTGCCATGCGTGCAGCCCACTTTGGGCGAGCAGACAATGGGAGGGCACAGAGGAACTACGTAGGTTCGTTAGCTGTGCTATCCTGTAGTGGTGGGAGGAGAGGGAGCTGGAAGATGGCCTGTGTGGCTTACGGTGTAGTCGAAGATGAGATCAAAAGTGGTTTCCTTGCTGATATTGCTCTTTTCAAGCCACTCGTTGCTGAAGAAGTCGCCGGTGGCCCAGGATACCGTGCCCACTGACGGAACGCCGTCCTTGGGCTTGTAGACGTCGGTGGTCTTGTCACCATCTCGCTGGGCTTCTCGTACTGACTTTTCGTTCTCAATGGCCTCGCTGGCGGCAGCTGGAGCAAAGTCCAGCCCGATCACATCATAGCCGAAGGCGGCCAGCAGCAGGACATCGTGGCCCTTGCCGCAACCGGGGACGAGGGCTTTGGGTCTCGACGCCGTAGAGGATGTGACGGGAGGCACGAGATTGGGACGGCTCAGAAGGAAATCGTTGAGGGCCAGCGAGGGGCCACCACGGTCCCAGGGGGTGTACTTTTCCTCCCAGAGCGCGGACCACTTGGGGCCGTGAGAGGCGAGGGGAGACATGGCAAAGGTGGAGGAGAGCTTGTTAGAGTTGTGATCCGACATGGCGAGTTGTTTCTCATGTAAGTGGCTTCTTGAAATGTGCAACTGTAAATTTCATATATGGAGTTTGCTTTTTCCGTTCTTAGATGTCGTCTCGCCGTGCTCGGGTTGGAAAAGGGAAGCCCAGGATCAATAAGTGTAGGTAAGTGTAGGCGAGGAAGCTGTAGATATTGATCGGATCAACAGATCGGATCACAAGGGGGCAGAGCAGAGGGAGGGGTCCTCATATGAGGACGTCGTTTTATTCTTATGTAATCAGGACCCGCCGTGGTACCTGCCACTGGTACCCGACGTCGCCGAGGAGAGGAAGCAGCACTCCAGCGTGGCCCCGAAGGCGCTCTTGCTCCTGATACAAAGACCACGATGACACTGCCTTGACTGCCTGAGTGACTCCTGCCTCCGGACTTTGTTTCGGCGACCCAAAAGCCCTATAACCAACCCCAAAAGCATCAGCTCATGGCAGCTTTCTGACTGTGTTTTTTTCTCTCAAAACACCAACAAATGAATGCTTTCTGCCCCTGTCCAGATTCGACGTGAACCGACACGATGCGGCGAGGCCGCTTGTTTCGCCGAGCTACTGGCTCACCCCGCGTCTTCGGGGTTCCACCTCCGCACCCACAGCCACTTCAGGCCGATACTCGCACCGGTCTCTGCCGCCGCTTCCGTCTTCTGCACTTGAGGTGGCCCTGTTCATACGCCTGACAGCTTTCGCACCTCGGCCTCGATAGCCTCGATTTGACCATTCAACGTCTCATCTCACTACACCATCACCACCTCCACCACCATGGCTGACCTTGCCACCTGCCGTCCCCTCACCAGGGACTCGGTCATTGAGGCTCACGCCCTCATCAAGCCCCTCGTTCACCTGACCCCCGTCCTCAAGAACAAGACTCTCAATGAGTTGGCTTCCACCCCACGCCATGTCGCCTCGCTCACCGGCACCAAGTGGCAAGGCCGCACCCCAGCCAAGCCCACTCTTCGCCTCTATTTCAAGTGCGAGAACTTGCAGCGCATCGGTGCTTTCAAAGCCCGCGGCGCCTTCCATGCCATTGAGCGCCTCAAGTTGGAGCCCGGGTGGCGCGAGGGCGGCGGCGCCCAGCGCGGCGTGGTCACACACAGTTCCGGAAACCACGCCCAAGCCCTGGCCCTCGCCGCCCGCGAGAGCTCAATCCCTGCCCACATTGTCATGCCCTCCGTGTCCCGCCCCAACAAGGTCGCCGCCACAAAGGGCTACGGCGCCATCGTCTACTCGAGCGGCTCCACGAGCGTCGAGCGTGAGGCCGTCGCCAACGAGGTCATCGCCGCCACCGGCGCACGCCTCGTCCCGCCCTACGACCACCCCGACATCATGCTCGGCCAGGGCACCATGGGCCTCGAGTTTCAGGACCAGGCGCGAGACCTGCTGCCCGCCGGGAAGAAAGACCTCGACGCCATCGTGACGCCCTGCGGAGGCGGCGGTATGCTCTCCGGCGTTGCCCTGAGCTGCGAGGGTACTGGTATCCGCGTCTACGGGTCGGAGCCGGAGTATGAGGGCGCTGACGACGCCAAGCGTGGCTACGAGACGGGCAAGCGTGTCGAGACCGTCAAGGGTCTGACGATTGCCGATGGTCTGCGCACTCCCGTCGGCGTCCACCCGTGGGGCGTCATCTATGAGCGCAAGCTCGTGAGCGCCATGTTTGCTGTATCCGAGGATGACATCTTGCAGGCGACGAAGCTCGTTTTTGAGCGGTTCAAGCTCGTCATCGAGCCAAGTGCCGCCGTGCCGTTGGCCACTGCGCTCTACAACGAAGACTTCAGGGCCATGGTGGAGAGGGAAGCTGGCGAGGCTGGGTGGGATCTGGGGCTTGTTTTCAGCGGAGGCAACATTGCTATGGATGGGCTGGTCGAGCTCTTCGCGGCGAAACAGCAGTCATAGTATAGTCAGTGCCATGGTGGGTTGGGACCTGAAGCTACCGCTAGACTCTATTGTTTGTGACGTATCATGAGAACCATGCCGTCTCGGATTCATAATTCATGCCCTTCATTTTCACCGGTCTTGTTTACCCGTTTTGTGTACACCTTTCAAGTCCCTTCTTTCATCTTGCATGCGAACTCTCCAGCCTCGTCTATCCATCTGTCTCAACGCCACGTGCCGCTTTGAAGGCGGCTGATACATTCAAAGATCTTCGACCTCGAGCCCTTCACCCCCAGGATACTCGTAAACCATCCTGCCTCCGACCCAGGTCTGCTTGACCTTTAGACTGCGCAGGTCATCAATCTCGAGCGCATCGAGCGGCTCGTCGAGCACAACCCAGTCCGCCAGCGCCCCCTGCTTGATGACCCCCGCCCGTCCCTCCATGAACGCACCAAAGGCAGGGCCTCTCGTGAAGCCCAGGAGTGCCTCGTCCAGGCTCAGCGCCTCCTCGACGTGCCACCCGTCCAAGCTGCCGTCGACGCCGCGCCCCGTCGCGGGGCTCTTCCTCGCGACGGCGGCGAAGATGCCCTCAAACGGGTTCGGCGGCTCGACGGGAAAGTCGCTGCCGAGGACGGGACCAATGTCGAGGAAGGAGCGCATGCGGTACGCCTCGGTGGCGGTGCGCTCGGGGCCGAGACGCAGCTCGGCGTACTTCATGTCGGACGTGGCGTGCGTGGGCTGGATGGAGGGGAGGATGCCGAGGGCGTGCATGCGCTTCTGGTCGTCCGGGTGGATGATTTGGGAGTGCTCGATGCGGAAGCGGCGGTCGGCCTGGCAGGCTGCGAGGTGGGCCTCGGCGCCGCTGGCGCCGCTCTCAGGGCAGACGTCGACGAGGGCGGCCTCGAGGGCGTCGATGGCGAGTCGGTTGGCGAGGTCGCCGATGGCGTGGATGTTGACCTGGTAGCCAAAGGCGGCCCAGGACTTGGCAAGATTTGTGAGGGTCGTGGCGTTTACGAGCAGCGAGCCCGACGTCTCGGGTCTGTCGCTGTAGGGCTCGATCATGGCGCTGCCCCAGCTGCCGAGGGCGCCGTCGGCGAAGAGCTTGACGCTCCGGACGCTGAGGAGGTCAGACACGCGGGACACCTTGGCGGCGGCGTCAGGGCAGTACGTGTTGCGCTGTGCGCACTCGAGCATGGCATAGACGCGGACGGTCCAGTCGGAGGAGGAGCCGGCCATGTCGGCGTAGAGTTCGAGGTGGTTGGGGAAGACACCTGCATCGTGCATGCCGACGACACCGACCTCGTTGAGCTTGGCCATGGCCGTGGAGACGAAAGCACGCTTCTTCTCAAGGCCGGGCGCCGGGAAGATGGCGTAGAGCATGTCCATGGCATTGTCGCAAAAGACACCCATGCCAGGCTCCCGGATAATGTCACCGCCTGGGACGTCTGGGATGTCGGCAGGCAGGAGGTCTAGGACGGCCTGCGAGACCCAGCTGCAGTGGACATCGATGCGATCTAGCATGAAGAACTTGCCCCTGAGGAGCTCATCCTCTTCAATATCTGCCTGTTATACACGTAAGTCACCCACGAACACTGCAAGGGTGGAACAGGTGAACCAACCGCCGTCGGCATCCGGCCGTAAACATTCTGGTCCCAGCCCACGCCCCGTATCCACTCCTCACTGGTCCCGGCATCGGGATTGGCATCGACATAGTTTCGGAGGCGACCTCGAACATCATCAAAGGAGGCGGCGCCAAAAAGATCGACAGAGTGCAGAAACTCGCCGTACTGAAGCAGATGGCCATGCCCATCCCAAAGACCGGGAATCACGAAGCCGGGCGTGGTCGTCAGACTCGCATCATCCCAAGCAAAGACTCTTGAGAACTTGCCGTCCTCGACGGTGAAGCATTGCGCCGTGGGTTGCTCGTCATCGTGAGTGCGGACGCCCTGATAGCAGTATGTCTGGGGGCCATCGACATCTGCCTCGGACAGGGGCTGTTGGAGACGCACAACGGCAAAGGCAAAAACGCCTGCCACGGCAGCCGAGAGGCCAACCGTCCATCTCACGACGGCCGAGTTCGACATGATGGAGCCGTCCCGCTGAGATACCAAGAATGTCGGTGAATGCAGGGACCGGACCGTGACTGGTGTTTCTATGCCTCCTCCTTGTGGTCGTTGAAAATGCCAGCTTATCGATAACAGCGCCACATCAAGTTTGCGCACAGGCCTCTTGCGCCAACCTTCCCCTCGTAGGCAGCTTCCAGGGAGACTTCCTTTCCTGTATTTGGTAGTCGTGGAGCATTGTCGCCAGGTTCAGATACTTGGAGAATTGTAGCGAAATCACGAGTACGGAGAGGTCACATTGGTCGCCGAGGTGAACATGATACTCTTGAGTATTCCATCACCATGTTTCAAGCCCTTAGCGTACGCTTGACGATTGTGCACAATGGCAAACTGGAGGGCAGGCGGCAAAGAAGGCCTCCGGCTGAGCATCAGTCGACGATGTGTTGTCAACGGTGAAAACCTCAAAGGGAAGAACTATGCTGTCGCGCCATTACGGCTGACTGGCCTCCAGGCAGCTCAGGCAGGCGACTCAATACGACGCAGAGAAAACGCGACAGTCCTTCTTGGCGTTTTCTCTTCCCACGTGTGGCCAAACGGCATACACAATCAGAAAGTTTCTGATCGGATCCCTCTTCCTGTCGACTTCCACCAATTGATTGCTGTGCCAAGACGAAAGCTCCTACAATGACGATGAACCCACAAACAAGGATCGACTGGTTCATCCGACAGACGAAGAGTGGAAAGCCTTGTTACTGAACATGGCGCTTGCGTGGGACCATGTCTCGAATCGGTTGATGAATGACCTTGCCTCTTCTGACGTCCATTTCCACCAGATCGTCGACCGCAAGGTCGCCATTGAATCCGAAATAGCCATCGGACTACATCCCCTGCCTCCGTGCCTTCGTCATGGTGGGCCACACCGTCAAGACTGAACCCTGCATATGATGGCGTTCGCAGATAAGCAACCTTGGCCAAAGACATGTAGATTGGCAGCTTGGGCGATGGACAAGCCTCCCAAGAATCGACACGAGAGATCATCTTTGACGGGCGCTCTCCACCCCCGCCATCGCAGCCTCAAGGGGCTCGCTACTATGACATCAACCGTCAGCCACACCCCTCCTCCTTGTTCACTGTTCATTGGCAGAGGCGGCAAAGCGGGCTGTCCAACGCAAGGGGGATCCCCCAGTGGTCCGCGGCTCAAGCCAATCACACAGGTCCGCCACCACACGTACGCTACGTCACCAGCCACAGGACCCTGAAAACCGGCTTGGGACCCCTTAAACGTGCGGTCCAATCCAAGCCCACGCCGTCGACGGGAACGTCACCTATCGGTCCCGGAGCCAAGTTTTGCTTGTTCTCGTGAACGTCTTGTGTCTTGGTCTGGGCGTGAGGGGCATGAGGATCCTCCGTTTCAGCGCGTTCTGGCCCTCGCGATCACCCTTGCTTTGATGTCATTTCGGGCGCAGCCATCACCCAAGATGATGCCATGCCATCATTTCGTCCTACCCAGCCCGAGCCCTCTGGGTAGTCACCACGAAAGGTGCCATTCCAGCGAGCCTCGTCGTGAACATATAAGCTGCTCTACTTGTCCCTTCTGAGTGACTGATTTGCTTCTTCATCAGACATCGAAGTCAAACAACAACATCTCAGCCTCAAAGCTCCAAGCCTTCTAAGCAAACCCTCCACCTTACCCAACAAACCAACCACCTTACAAACCACCCAAACCTTTACCCCAAACCGCCAAAATGCCCATCCTCCGCTCCAGCCAGCCCCGCCGCACCCGCCACACCACCACCAAGACCTCTCGCTCCAACGGCGGTCTCTTCTCCCGCCGCCGTCAGCCCGCCCGTACCACCCACACCACGACGACCACCACCACTACTCACCGTCAGCACGCTGGTGCCACGGCGCCCCGGGGTGGTTTCTTCTCCCGCCGCCGCGGCCCCGTCGTTCACCATCAGCAGCGCAAGCCCTCGATGGGCGACAAGATCTCCGGCGCCATGCTCCGCCTCAAGGGCAGCCTCACCCGCCGCCCCGGCCAGAAGGCCGCTGGCACGCGCCGCATGAACGGCACCGACGGTCGTGGCTCGCACCGCACTCGCCGCTGGTAAACACCTGAGTCCAGCCCGGGTCAAGCCAGATACAACGACGGACACGAGGTGGTGCAAGACGCTGTAACACTACAACGACGATGACGAATGTTTTGATCTCATGCGGAGTGAGAGGGGACGAGCGATAGATACCACTGTCTGATACGAGCGAACTGTAAAATGCATTTTAAGATAATAATTCATTTTCATCACACTCATTCGCCTGGTCTTTATTTGCCGTAATATGACATGCGCGGAGAAAAGACTCGTCTTCTCATTAAAAGTCTTTACATTGGCGTGATCTCTGTGGACCTTTGCTACCTTCTCTGCGATGTACAATTATTCCGTCATTACAATTGACTGACGTGGTCGTCCTTGTAACAGATTCTCCTTCCGATGCTACCTTCCAACATCGGTCTTGCAAATCTCACCGCTGAAATGTTGCACCGCCGAGTCGATGAATGGTATGCAAGAGTTCTCCATCCAGTGGTCCACTGGCTGTGTCGCTGTTCCACCATACGAACCTTGTCTTCGAATCACGCCAGCTCATCTAACTCCGTGGCACCAGGATCAAGAGGATGCGCCATAAGACCGAAACGCGCTTCTGAACGGGTGGACCTAACAGGACCTGGGATGCGAGATTTTCGGAGAGAGAGAGGCGTACAGGCACTGGCTTCCGACTTGGTCAAGTACTGGCTCATGGGCAAGTTTCTGTCGCGTGGAGCCAGGGTGCGAGCAGAGGCAAGACTCGCCACAAATGAATGACTCAACTCATCCTTAGGCTCATCTCCAGGGCTCGGATCCTGGATACCCATCTTCTGAAGCTGTCGAGCCAGCTCTGCAAGGCTTTCTTTGTCAGGAGAAGGGTACTTTTTGCTGCTCATAAAGTTTGGGCCCATATGCTCTCCAATTGTGGAGACGATACTATCGCGACACATCACGTTGACTGCGTCCGGGCGGGGGAGGATTGGTGTGTTTTTGCTTATAGCCCGGTCTCGGACGAGCTGCTGTCCCAAGCTAGGTGTGCCAATGGGTGCATTCGGTACTTCCTTGCGGCGAGTTCGGGGAGTAGAGGCACCTAAAGGCCTATCAGACAATACAGCATTCAGATCGGTGCTGAAGTCGGGGTCGCTATCAAAGGGGTTGATATGGACCGGGGTTACCGGGTCTACGATACCAGTTTGTCGGGTGGGAGTCTTTGGGCAAGCTAGGAGTGAAGGATCCGTGAACGTATTGGTAGCATCGCTGTGGTCAGAGAGAGACTATCGGCGTTGGAAGAATTAGCTCCGGGGGAAACAAAGAGAGACGGTCCGTTGACAAACCTGTTCCGGCCCATCTGCAGAGGCCTTGCTGGGCATGTATGTTTTAGTCACCTCAAAACGGGTAAGAGACCTCTCCGAGTCGACAGCATAGTGGCCACCTCGGAGGTACGAACCACCGCCAAGCTCTAGGGGTGCTGATATTTTGCGGACTGCCGTAGCCTGTAAGGCAGCTTTCTTTCCCTGAATTCGGTCCCAGGCATGAGAAGCCTTGGTAGCAAGCTTACGGGATATGCGAGACACCCGGGAATCTTGTTTCTTTGCGTGGGGCTTGAGGGCCTCTGTAGCTGCTAGCATGTTCTGGAGTTTCTTGCTGACATCGTCTGTGTCTGCTACCTCTGCAAGTGCCTTGGTGAGGGGGGCAGTAGCCGAAAATGGTACCCGACCCACGCGGCCCGTGAGGTCATCTGACGGTTGCCTTCGTCGAGGGAAGGTGTTATGGGGAAGTAAGTCGCTCGTCTTGGATTTGGGCACGAGCCTCGAGAGATCGCTCTTGTCGGGGGGTGAAGACTCAGCCCTGAGCTGTTTCTTGTGACGCCGAAGAGAAGACTTTCGCGGAATAGCGGGGTGTGGAGGATCATGTTCTCTTGGAGGTGAACTCTTGGCAGCGGGCTGGCGTTGGGAAGCCAGATCTCTTCTCTGATTGTCGGCATTGACTTGGCTGAAATAACCAGATGGGTGGCTTGCGAGGCCATCTGGATGGCCTAATTCGGGACTGTCGAGGAGCAAGCTAGCAAGCTGGTTGACCGAGTCGTTGGCTTTCACTTTTCAGCTGTCAGCACGAAAGGCACAAGGTGGAAAACTGAGCTAGTGAACAAAATAAAACCTCATACCTGTGCCGTGATGTATTGAGCCAAGACGCTGGCTCTCTCGCCGTCGCCGTGGCATGTTGATGTCTTAGTGATGCTCTTTGGTGCCTTTATGGTCAGGAGGACAACTTATTGTCTCGGAGATTATACAAAGGTGCGACCCGTCTAGACCAAATCTTGTAGCTTCGCCCTTTCAGGTACCTAGGTCAGGCAAAACCCCTGGTATCTCGTAAAGCAACAGACCTTGGGTGTATAACTTGTGTAAGTGAGTGTCGTGCTCTGAAGGAGTGCGCTGGCGTGCTCCTTACCGGGCGTACAGGTTCGATACGCACGATGGTGCTATGCTGGAAGGGCAATAGCAGCGTGTGGGAGGCGCAGATGCGGTTGTGTGTGCGATTGCGTAGACATAAACTGGGTTCTTTCCCTGTTTACCATGGGTTTGCGTGATTGCACGGAAGAGGGCAATCGTATCCTGATTCTTGAGCCTGTAGGCAGATGCAGTGATACTGGCGCAGTCCTGTACAGCCTAGGGCGAACTGCGCGATGCAACCCTTTCAACAGGGTAGAAAATACCAGGCAAAAGACTAGCAATTTGTCCGCAGTTCGAGTAGAGAAAATGTATGTGGCGTTTCAACCGGGGTTAGAATGCAAGACAACCAAACCCAAATACGAAGTGGGAGCTGTGATATGGGTTTGCCTCCACGGTGAATTAATTGGCAGCAGGTAAGAACTGCCTGTCACCACAATTTCTAGTTCCTCCTGCCTGGAACTAATCTCCCTACCACCGTGAATGCACAGCAGGTGCTGCCAATGCACCACCTGCCGTATAGTAATTTGTTTCGGTCGTCCCCTTTTCAGACAAAAGGGCATGACAACAACCAGTGATATTGGGGCATGCTCTACGCTCACTCCGGCTAAATGCAAGCTCTCAGGAGTTCAGTAGCGATGACATATTCTCTCATGGGATAGCTAAGTCTTGATCCTCTTTGGAATGGCTTCCCGAACTTATACAACCTATCTACACAGCACTCACAATGTACACAGTACTCATCTGATGCCTGTCACATTGCACATAGCGAAGCCGTCATGCTTGTGAAATTAGGTAGTGAGAGCACCTTTAATTTTCTTCCTATCATGCCGTTTTGATTCAGCTATGGGAGTGAGGAGTTAGGTGAAACAGTCGGCAAGATAGGACACTCACCAACATGGAAGAGCGTCTGCCTGGCGCGTGAGTAGTCAAGGCCATGTCGGTTGCTCAAGATGTCTCATTGAAGTCTTGACCTGCCGACTTACGACCCCCAACTGAATGGCAGCATCTGCAAGACTGCCTGCTCAAATGATTGAAGAGAGTTGGATTTTCCCCAGGTAACTGGGTCCGTCCAAGCGAGCGTCGGTTCGTCAGATGCTATCTGGCGTGCGTCGTACGCAAAGCTGGGCGAGACTCCCAGCGCACTCAACAGCCAACAGTCTCCAGCATCAATTGCCTTCTGAACAGGCAAGCATGAGACGGGACAAGCGTCGAGCATGTTGAGTAGAGAGGTAAAGGGGGATTGTTCATATTGCTACTCATCGTAATCATCTTGTCCTTCAATCACATTGGCGCCCCGGCGAGACCGACCGACCGACGTTGGCCGAGGCCCCTTCTCTTAGTCATCCATGGCTCGAGGCCTCGAGCGTGGAAACGCTGAGTTCCGATTGTCATTTGCCGAAAGCTGATTGGCAGATGCCGACTTTTCAGCGATACTTGCCGAGTAGTGGGCCCTTGTGTCGTTCTGAGCCACATCATGCGACCTTGAAGGCCCCCGTGGCGGGAAAAGCTCGTGTGTGTCAGGTCGGCCAAGGCGATTCCGGACGACACCTTTTATCTGTTCCTCTGCTGCGCCATCACCACTTTCTTCCCCATCAGCAAACTCCTTTCCAGCCTTCACCGCGTCGCGCAGTCGCTGCTTGTTCGACCCTCAATTAATCGCCTGAGCCTTTCCTTTCTCCAATTGCTGTTGGTCGACGCAACAGCACCTATCACCTTGCCACTTTGTGCGACCCCGCCAAGACCAACACCGCTGTTCCGTCTTTGCCTCTTCCGCCACCTACTCCTCCAGCACGATCTTGACCGCCTCACGACCAGCAAACCCACCATGTCGTTTTCTAGCCTTGTTCAGGATCTCAGCCTCCGCGACTCGGGCATGCCTCGCCGTCCTGGGCCTCGCGGCACCGCTTCGGCTTCGACCATCGACGATGGCCGATCGCAGGTCTCGCGTGCCATGTCGTATGCCAGCACTGCGGCCACCAGCGTCAGCATCTCTGGCGACATCTCTAGCCAGCTCCATGGTGGCTACCACCATCCGCTCGCCAGGTCGTGGCAGGCAGAGAGGCAGTTGACCAAGGTCAGTCGTTTTCGCTCCAACAGTCACTCATTGCATTCTCTGACTTGTTTGCCTTCCAGTCTATGCTTATCTACCCCATTTTCATTTCCGACAACGATGACGACGAAACTCTAATCCCCTCTCTGCCAGGCCAGAGTCGCCGTGGCCTCAACAAGCTCGTGCCGTTCCTCGAGACATTGGTGCACAAGGGCTTGCGATCTGTCATGCTCTTTGGCGTCCCTCTGCGTCCGGGTACTAAGGACGCTCTTGGTACTGCCGCCGATGACCCATCAGGACCCGTCATCCGGACCATTCGTCTTATTCGCCAACGGTTCCCCCAGCTCTTCATCTGCACCGACGTCTGTCTTTGCGAATACACCTCACACGGCCACTGCGGCATTCTCCGCGATGATGGTACCCTGAACAACGCCCTGTCTGTTGACCGCATTTCAGATGTGGCTGTTGCCTATGCACGGGCTGGAGCGCACTGTGTTGCGCCCTCGGACATGAACGACGGGCGCATTCGCGCGATCAAGCTCAAGCTGATTGAAGAGGGCATCTCACACAACACGGTCCTCATGTCGTATGCGGCCAAGTTCTCCGGCTGCTTGTACGGACCTTTCCGCGACGCCGCTGGCTCGGTGCCGTCGTTCGGCGACCGCAAGTGCTACCAGCTTCCTCCCGGCGGTCGCGGCCTTGCTCGTCGCGCTATCACGCGTGACATCAACGAGGGCGCCGACATAATCATGGTCAAGCCGGCCAGCCAGTATCTTGACATCATCAGTGACGCAAAGGATCTGGGACGGGACCTCCCAGTGGCGGCGTACCAAGTCAGCGGCGAGTTTGCCATGATTCATGCAGGAGCCAAGGCGGGGGTCTTTGACCTCAAGACGATGGCCTTTGAGTCGACCGAAGGCATTCTTCGAGCGGGCGCGACCATCATCGTCAGCTACTTCACGCCTGACTTCCTTGACTGGCTCTCCAACTGAGCGGTGCCAATTGAATTGACGACGACACGGAAAATGGGAGCATATGCAATATTGAGATTCTGGCGTTTCAAGGGACGAACTACGTCGTGGCGTTATCATTATCAAGAAGGTAGATGGGAAGGTAGTCGAGTCCGAAAGTGACCACTCCGAATTGTGCAAATAACATGATATCATATCATGCCTCGACTGCCTCCTGCACCATGTGAGGACCTGATTGCATTTCATACAGCTGTAGAGGGAGGAAGCGCCCTGGTTTCAATGCAAGACACGTCACGAAGACGGCCGGCCGTCCATTCTCACGGTTTCATAAGTTTGCCTTCAAAGGGCGTGTGGATCGTCCCTCACACCTTCACGCTCTGGTTCGGGGGTTGTGGGTTCCACGTTGCCAACATGTGGGTAAGGTAGGTTGGTAGCTAAGGTAGTTAGCCCTGCCGGAGGTAACGCGGCGCAGGGCGGCCAAACGGGTTGTTTGTCCACCTGCCTCCCATTCGACTCGAGCCCCGGCAGCCTGATGTGAGGCGGCCAACAACAGCCTCACTGAGGGTCTCACTGAGGGTTGATCGATTCGAAGCAGTGCTCCTCCCTGTGTTGAATTGCGGAGGACTCGCCATCCAAGACATGGTTGACTGAGATGGAGGGTACATGTACAAGTAGAACTGGACCCTGCGGAGTGGAGGCAATGGAATGCATGTTTCAAGTTAACAGGTCACAAAGTCTCTTTCTGAGCAGTAACTCCTGCGGGCCCTGGGAAACAGCACCGAAAGGGTGGAGTGACAACTCTGATCAGTACAAGCAAGGGCCCCTGACGTCCCGCGGTAGGAGCAGGGGTGCGCGTCCCATATTGGCCAATGGACAACGCTCACTCGAGGCGGGCGACGCCTGCCGGCCTGGCACGACCCGCGGACCACTTAATTCAGACGCGTCGTTGGTGGAGGTGGGGTTGAAGGCGCCCAATCGTGTTCTCCCCTTCTGTCGTCCTTTCCCCAAGATGATGGTCGAGACGGCCGAAGCCTGGCGCTTCACAAACAACCAGGTTGCGCTCGTTGCCTGGCGTGAGGTGCTTGACGTGCTTGGGAGCTGCCTGAGAACGAGAAAGAGAGAAGAAGAAGAAAACAACGCCAGTTCTGCAGAGGCAATTGCCGTCACCCATGCTCTCCATCAGGTCGTCCTGCCCCGTTTGCACCCCCCCGTCCCTCGGCCTGGCCTTGTCCACCTGTCTTCTGTCTCGCCAGCCAGTGTACAGCGCCCCGCCATTGCATCCCACCATCATCCCGGCCGCCAGCCCAGCAGAGGCCGCCTCACTTCCAACCTCAATCCTTCGATCCCATCCAAACATTCATCCCTCAAACCGCCTAGCAGCAAATCTTTCCCATTGCCTCCGAAACCAGAGATCAGCCGCCTGCGTCCCGCCTCGATCACGCCCACATCTGCCACGCCTTATAGTCTGACCACCAACCCTCTCTGTTCCTTTGGAACTCCTTCCTTTGCGCCGACAGTGTGGGTACTCTTGCCAAAGGACCTCGTTCCCCTCGCGGATAGCGAACCAGACCTTGACTTCGACTCGGAGGCTCAGCTAACGATAACAGCTGCGATGTACTAGGTGAACCTCAGGCTTGTGCGTACCGGCGCGGCTGGCTTGAGCGTTTGGCTCCTCTACTGGCGACATTATATACCCAGCACGGCAGGATACCGACACACCGGCCGACCTTGGACCTAATATTGCTCGTTGCGATTCGTCCTGGCCCCTCCATTTCCATTTCATACCCTTCCGACACGACTGGATAGACCCTTCTTCCAGGACATGATCGCAGCCATCTCCGATGGCTGCCTCACAGCTCGACCTTCCCCTTCCCGGTGCCTCCTTCTTCGATCTTCACCATGATGGAACGACCACCCGCAGTCCTGTCTCGTTGCCCGATGGGGGCTGCAACTTTGTCGACCTGACGCCCGGTGCCAACGGGGCCAAGTGTGGATGTCGCCGCTTCTGGAGTCGCACTGTTTCCGGGAGAGGATTCGCAGATACCGTAGGATCGGACCACACGGCCTGGTGCATGTGCACTCACCACGCTTGTTACCATGACCACACCCGCGACGCAGAAGCCGCCACCCCCGTAATAGGATTCGTTCCCGGACAGGAGAATACAAAACCCAAGGGACATCGTGAGCCCCTAAGCCCCGTCGTTCAGGATGCTTCGTTCCGCCTGCCTTCTGGATTCTCTACTTCATTGGATCTTATGAATCTGGACGCCGCGATGCTGCTGCCTATGAGCAAGCCCGAGAATGCCAGGAACCCGTGCGCTGGAACCCCCAGCCAGCAGCTCGAATCTACACTACAGGATACGTTAAGTTGGGGCGAGTTTGTCCAGTCTCAGTCAGCCAACACGACCACACTGCCCCCGATCCCCCCTCAATGCCTTATGCCCTCTCAACCCAGTTCCACCACATCATCTAGCCAAGCTCGTTACTTGCGCCCTTTTGCCGGGAAAGGATTAAACACGCTCAGTGGTGTGCACCAGCCCGACCCTCGTTCTCTTCGCCAGGAAAAGCCGCAGGACCTGGAGCCCATGGACATTCAGCCCACAAAGATCTGGAATAGAAGTCGTTACCGCGGGTGCCGCATCTGCTGTTGGAAATAGTTCAGACACTCCGAAAGCTCGACGATCTCCTGTTCTTACGGTCCAGGCTCCCGCAGCAATATTTGGGTCACCTTCACGTGATACGTTTCGACACATGTCAGACACAGTCCAAGGACACGAGCAACGGCTCGATCGTTTGGAGAATGTTTCCTTCTCCGCGGGAGGTAATGACGAATGCCATGAAAAGCATGATGCCATGGATCTTCGCGTTACGGACCTAGAAGGCCGGGTAGAAGAGGTTGAAAAACTCATGAATGATAATACCAGCCACGGAACTGCCCGCCATCTCCGCCAACCTGCCGTCGATGAGTCAATGAGCAGCGCCGTCTCTGTTTCTACCAGCGCGACTGCTCGTATCTCCGACGCGAGCGAGGTTTACAACCACATACAGTCCCTTCAGTCTCAACTTCGGCACCTCCAGTCTTTTGTGCCATCTTGTATGCATGCCTGGGAAGTGGAGGTGGTGTTTCTCCCGTTCGCTCTCCGGCGCATTTGGCAAGAAAGGCACGACTTCAAGCTGGAACCAACATCTAGCATGGACGAATGGACTCAGCTCCCCAACACCAACAGTACTGCCAGGTCAGGTACCCAATCTCCATATCATGGAGATTGGGCGGCATCAAGACGGGACTATGACTGGCTGCTGGCCAAAGCCTGCGGCGCCCAGAGCCTCATTGATAGGCGCCTGAGGAGCAGAGGTTTGGTCAAAACCATGTCCGTCAAGGGTCCTGATGCTCGGAGCGTCGAAGCGGCCATCCAGGCTGCGTTTGGCCCCATCCTGCACCGTATGTCGACTTCTGCGTCCACATCTCGTCGGCGTAGCATCAACACCAAGATGGACAAGTTCATGGGTCTCCAACAACCCTGGGTGCCACTTCGGAAGATTCACAAAGACTCCCGTCTCCGTTTTCTCTCACCGGCTGAGATGGTCACACCAGCCTTGTGGGATGTTCCCTTTCTCAACTCGATCATCATGCGGGCTTCTGAGCGTAGGCTGTTCATAACACAGTCAGAGGCATACCTCCAGGATCTGCACATGCATGACCAGGGGTGGACTTGGCAGAGGCTCCGTGAACAGCCTCGTGTCTATCCCGAAAAAAGTGCCTCGCAGGATGTGCCAGAGGCCGATGCACACGAAGAATGTTGGGCCTTTACTGAGCAACTGGATGAACCCGTCAGTGCCCAATCATCGCTGGGCATGCGAGAATTAGCTACAGCGCAGCGTGCATCGACATCGCCCTCACAGCGCTATTTCCATATCGATCCATCCCTGCGGTCACCCAGCCCGTACGTCACTCGCGGACAGACTCCAAGGCACGAGGTCCACGTGACCCGACCAATTCACGCCCGCACAACATCGATGCCACCTGCAGGGTCAGCGCTCATTTCACCGTCCGGCATCAAGCGCCGGGTAGCATCCTCAGGGCAACAAAGAAAGGGAAGCGTGACGCCTCAGATGCAAGCTCGCCTTGAAGTTGTTGCTGTAGCATACAAAAGACAGCGAACGGGGTCCCCGAGTCGTCCTCACCATACTCCTCGCTGGACGTCTTCACCTAGCCCGGCACTGGCGATGTTTCCGACGGAACACGAACGGGTACAGCCAGCTCGAGGCGTCACACCTCTGTATTATGCCACTCCGTTCAGCAACGCGCCTCTAACAGAGTCGCGAATGCGAGGCAGCGGGGGTATGCCCGACGAAGACTCGGATGAGCATGGCGAAGCCGATTCTGGCAGCACCAACCTGAACGATGATGAGAGCATCTATCGAGCTGCTACTGGCGCTCGATTCACCATTGCCGAGGACAGTGACGTGCAACACCTTCGGCAGCTCCAACCAGAGGACGAGCCATGGCCCGGTATTGAAGACCAGGACCGTATCTCGGATGGAGAAAACATTGATCCGCTCTTTTCGCAAACAGCCGACGATGCGACTTCGGTAGCAAGCAGCCAACCTTCTGAGTACCCTAGCACCCAACGTGGATGGGGAGCGCAGGGCGCTGATGATGACGATGACATGGGTTTCCGAATTCATGAAGACGATGACAGGATGATGTGAAGACGCGGATATTTACGAATACTATACGATGGCAGGTTTGGGTGGTTGAGGATGGCACAGCGTGCTCGAGTTTGGGTTTCCATGTAGCACGGGATGATGCTTATATGTTGGATTCCTTTCGTTTTCTTTGGGAGCTCATGTAACATTCGTATCTCGCATGGCGTTGTGGTTTTGGATCAGCCTCGAGCGGGAGTCTGGTAGCCTAGTGGACTGGTAGGCCGGACGCAGAACGCGGCATGTGGAAAAGAGGTGGACGAGGCGGATTTAGAATTACATAATGCCATGCAGCGGCAGGCGAGCCGCGATCTCGGCTTCTTGTATAGATACCAAGACACTCTCAACATGACAGCGTTGAATTTTGGAATCGCTGAGTGAAACATCAACATGAACATGACATACGACATACGGCCAAGCTCTCATGCTGAACAGAAAAGAACAAATGTTGGATATTCGGTCTATGGCGGTCGGTATCAGAGTAGAAAGGAGGGGGTATCAGAGCCCGAGCTGAGCAACGAGCCATGCATCTGTGGTGTATGTACAAGCAATGGAGGAGAGACAAAACCAGGTTCAGAACCGAAGTAACCAAAAACGTATCAAAACTCCAAGTAGCGACACGAAACCCTTGTGTGTGTGCGTGTGTGTGTGAGAGAGAGAGAGAGATACCTGCGTCTGCCTGGTCCGAATTGGATCCCCCAAAAGAACCCAGCCAATTTGAAAACTAACTCCCTTAAAGCAAAGGCTGGTCGTGGCCGCGCCGTGCCGTGTCGACCTTGTGACAGTCTTTTCTACCGTGAAGGAGCGTACCCGATATATGCGTTTGTCATGTCTAGTGCGCCGGGCCGGATTGAAATCCGGCGTGTTTCGTGAATGAGTGTAACCTGGTTTTGTTTGCATGCGATGCAATGACCGTTGAAAGAGCGTGATTCGTGCAATTCGTGAGAGAGCGTGTTCGAGTGGTGGTGCAAGTCTATGGTCTCGCAAAAGAGAAAACAAGAATGAGAACAAAAAACAAGAAACAAGAAACATGAGGCAGAAAGCAAAGCCGTCAATTTGACAAAGCGACCGAAGCTAGTACCAGGTCTGGCCCGGCTTCAGTCTGTCGAGGATGCGGCAGCGGTTTGTGATGCAGAGCTTCTCGCGGCCAAGACGCTTGAATTTGGGACCCAGTGGCCCAGTCACATAGTGATACTGGCTGAAGAGGCGCCACTGGCGCAGGTCGGCGAGAGAGTAGACCTGGTCTCCCCATGGGCCTGCGTAGTGGAACCAGCTGGTCGGGGCTCCTGGATTCTCGGCGGTGGGCGTCAACGAAGAAGCGTTGGCATCCTTGCGGGAGAGCAGATATTCAACCTCGCCGTCAACGTCGGCATCGACATCGAGACCGTCATCGACATCGCGCTCATAGTCGTACCAATACGAATACGTATTCTTGGCGGGATCCCATAGCGGGCCGCGGTCGGTGACGTCCTTGAGCAGCTTGAAGGGAAGGATGTAGGGGTGGAAGCCGGGCTGAGCATACATGGCGTGGCTGCCTACAGCGGAGTAAAGGACAGGTCTGTCGCCCCGCTTCTCGACGGCGTTGTAGGTATACGCCTGGCCGCCCTCGTGCTCGGAGAAGAAGATGCCACGCGGGATGCCGTGCTCGAAGCGCATCATGCAGTGCTCCCAGTCGCCAACGTGGTTGCCGAAGCGAATGTTGGCGACGGTCTGTCCGAGGTTGTACGAGTAGAAGAAGAACCAGAAAGCGTCGACGATGCCGTCACCCTTGTCGACGAGGATCAAGACGGCTGGCGCTTTGGAGTAGCCGTCAGCGTGAGGCTTGTTGATGGGCGTGGGGTCAGCGGGCATGGGTTGCTGATCGCGGCGGACGAAGCCAGTCTTGCGATCCAGGACGGGCTTGCGGCCCTTGGGCGAGAACTGCTGTCCGAGGCGGCGAGGGTCGGAGATGCGGTTGACGGGATGGCCGCGCGAGACGTCGTACCAAGTCGTGTCCTGGCTGGGGTGATGCTGGCCGCCGGGCTGGTTAGAGGGGGCACCGTCGTCGACGTAGTCGTGATGGGGCTCCTCATTGTCATTTCTCCAGGTGTGAGGAATAGAAGAGTGGCTGTGGAGCCACTCGGGTCTCGATTCAACGTCAACGTCGGCGGTCAAGAAGACCTGTCCATCCATGCCGTTGAGTTCGTGCAGGTCATCCAACAGGGCGGTCCTGTTGAGTGCTTCGGTTTCGAGATAGGGAATCATGTGCTGAACGTGCTCGGCGATATCGGAGGGCCAGAAGTTCTCCTTAGAGTAGAGGTGAACGAGCGGCGCATACTTGAGGACGTAGTCGGGTGTCTGTTGGAGAACGTTGCCACGGTCGGCTAGCTGTCCTCTTGCTGTGCGGCCCGCAACCTCCCAACCGGCATGTCTTTCATTGTTGTCTCCGAGAGAGCGCAGCTCCAGGCGCTCGGCGAACAGCTCGCCATCGTCGGTGCTGTTGTTGTTCCAAGGCAGCAGTGCGGCGGGGTCCCAGGTCAGGTGGTGGATGCCGCATAGACTGAGCCAGCGACAGGCCTGGCGGTCGAGCCAGTAGCGACTGCTGCTGACCCATAGCTTGTCCTCGGCGGCCTTCTCCTTGTCGGTCTGCGCCGGGTTCAAGTAGCGAGGGAGGGTGCCGGCGATGAAGGACAGACAGAGGAAGCAGGCGACGAAAATGGAGAGACGGCGTACGTGGTACATGGTCGAGGGAGAGGCTGGGTCTCGGTGCCGGTCGACGGCAGCGAGAAACGACAAGATTGGCGAGAGCTATGCGTAGGGAGGATGGGAAGAAAGGCAAGGGCAAAGACAAAGCGTGGTGCAATGCGGCGTACGCTCAATGGGCTGTGTGGCCTCGGCGGGCGGGGGTCGGGGCGGCGGCAGTGATGGCGGCAGCGGAAGGTTCGGAAGCGGCAGTGGGCACTGGTGGAGGCATCGCCAGGGTAGTAGTGGTTGACTTGGACAGTGGCCCTGATCGCTGTTGAAGCTGCTGGACAGGGTCCGTTTCCGCAGCGTGCGATCAATGGGGTAGAAGAAAAGAAAGATGGCGTGGACGTTGGCCACAAGGCTGAAGCGAGGCGGGAAGGAGGAATGGAAAGGACTGGCGCTATACTAGTAGGTTTTTTTTAAATGGTTTGAGAGAGGACGGGTTGGGATGGGATCAGATGTAAGGCGAAGGGAGGGGACAGGATGCAGCAGAGGGGGGGGGGAGGATTGGGGGAAAGAGTGGGAAGGGGCCAGTCACACCTCGCACTTGCGTGTACTGGAAGCAGGGCGGAAGGTGCCATGCAGGGACACAGTCCATGTCAGCGAATCTGGTAGGTACTATGCCTCAGTCGTGGGGCCTCGGCGGCAACTTTCGACCCGATCGCTGGTATCGATACCTTGAAGTTCCCGCTTCCCCCGCTTTGAGGCTAGCACAAAGAGAACCCTGAAGAGGCACAGAGACAGGGTTCCCCGCTACCGGAGGCACGTCTCTCGACCGGTACCTAACGCTGGCGGTGGGTGGCAGCCCAGCTCGCCTAGGTGCCCTTCCTCCAGGGACCTGACTTGGCCCGTCGACACCGACACTAGGTACTTAGGTGCCCTAGGTACCTACCTTACCTAGGGAAGTAGGTAGGTAAGTACCGCCCACCGCCACGCAGTACAGCCGATCAGCAGGGACCAACCAAAAAGCCCACATGGTCCTGTCAGTCGGTCCATATGCCGCTTCCACTTCGGCAGGTGCTCGATCGTCTGGGTTTCGAGCTGCTTGAATGCCCCCTTCTTGCCAGTCACGGGCCGTCGTGCAGCCAAGGTACCCGGATCAGGCCAAGGACTGGAAAACTCCAACAGGACCCAACAGGAAATGCTGTGAAGCCTGCGTGACAGTTACCGGTGACCTGACTGGACCGTGGTAACATGCCCCGTGTCGCAAACATCTCGTCAGGTTGCGTGTTAGTCTCTGGCAGTGCGCGCCGTAGCCGCCCGCTCAGCCTTCTCACCAAGGAGTCAAGAGTCAGCTCTTGTTTCACCGACACAGACGGACGGCTGACTGTTGGTGACTTTGACGCATCAGTGGCGGTCCCCCCCTGCAGTACCTTGGAGGTCGTGTCAAGTGTCTTTTGGGCGTTGGCGTATGAGAATGTGCCAGTTGTTCACGCCGACAGAGACACGGTTCGTCGGCATGTCAGCCATCACCATACACAGTTCGTCCGAAGAGCATCGACCTGTCGAAGTATATACATTACTCAGCTCATCTTCATGACTCCAACTGTCTGTCAAAGAACACGCCGCTCTAGATCCCTTCAATTCATTGGATATCCATGGAAGCGGAGCGACTGCATTGTAGATAGTTCATATCAGGTAGCGGGTGTGTGACCATGGAGTCTGCGAATCTCGCAGCAAACCCCACCGAAAATACAGTCGTCTCGAAGCATTACCACGACCAACGCAGCCAAGTGGTGGTTGGAAGTCTACCTCTTCTCCCTTGTGAGGAGTTGACAAGAGCAGCCTGGCGTCCCAGCAGCTAGACCACACCTTGACCCCCCTTGACAGATACCGAGTCGATAGGCCGGGTCAGACGAACATGTCCTTCAGATCCGCCACTGTCACATTGTCCATCTCCCTCGCCCGCGCCGCTCTCTCTTCGCTGACCAGGAATTCGTGAGGCAGCCCGACCGCCTCGGCTACCTCCAGCTCCTGCCCGTTCATCATGCCCACCACAGCCTTTGCACACAGCGCCGCCCGCGGCATCCCATGCCCCGTATAACCTGCCGCCACCCAGAGCCCCGTGTCGCCGCCCAGCGCCTTCGGCACCTCCCCAACCCACGGCAGGAAGTCTCTCGAGTACCCCATGATACCCGTCCACTCGTAGGTCGCCGCAAGCTCCCCCTCCGCGATGCCCGTCGTTGCCCCGAGCGTCTGTCGTAGGTAGCTGGCGACGACGGGATCGAGCCAGTCATCCGCGCTGGCACCCACGCCGCGCGCCGTGCCCCTAGATCGCCCACCGCCGAGGATCAGCTCCTCTCGCCCTTTGGGCCTCTGCACGAGATAGTCGTCCTGGCTCGGCCCCTTCCGCGGCACCCCCATGAACACATAGCTGTGCTCGAGCGCCCTCTGCCCCGGCCCCGGCATGAGGGCCGCGACCTGCCCGCGCACCGGCACCAGCAGGTCCGAAAACGCCGGCACCAGCCGCGATGTGTGCCCGTTGCACGCCAGCAGCACCTTTCTCGCCGCGACCTGCCCCCTGGGCGTATGCACGATCCACCGGAGCGCGGTCTCGCCGCCGCCACCGTCGTTGTCGTCAGGCCCCTCGAGCCTCTGTAGGTGCGTCGCCGCCGTGCCCGTCTGCAGGTTGAACCCCGCGCCCTGGGCCAGCAGCCTCTCGAGCACCCAGCACACGAGCTTGTACGGCCACAGGCTCGCAGCGTCCGCCTGCACGACGGCGCCGACGGCGCCGTGGACCCCGAGTGCCGCCAGCTCGGCGGCCGAGCGCACGACGCGCGCCTTGGCAGCCAGGTCCGGGTGCGCCCTGCCGAGGTCGGCGATGCGCAGAGCGGCGGCGGCGAAGAGGTCGGGCGTGTAGAAGGCGTGGACACCGGGAAAGGAGACCCAGTCGCAGGGGACGTCGTGCTCGGCCACGAGGTCGCGCAGGAAGGCGTACGTGTTGAGCTCGAAGCGCGCCACGGCCGTACTGAGGCCGTAGACGCTTGGCTGGCAGTGCCCACCATTCTGTCGGGGCGCGTTAACTTGCAAGTTCCTCTGCCACCGCTTTCGCACATGCACACACGCACACACGCAGTCGTGGTCGTGCGTATGCCGCTGAAGGAGGGATGACTCACTCTGCCTGTGGCACCCCAGCATGCTTCCCTCGCCTCGAGCATCAGCACGTCTGATGCCGCATTGGCCTCTTTGAGAAAATGCGCGGCGAATGCTCCTGTGATGCCGCTGCCGATAATGACGACATCGGCCGTGGCGGGGAGCTCAGCCGTCGTCCGGTGGCCCAGGAGCTTCTCTGAGGGTTCGCGATGCCAGTATGATGCCGTGCTCCTCTCTGACGGCAGGTCTGCCTGGCCGTCTCGCAGAGTGGCGCCAGTCATGATGGCTTGCCGCCTGTCGCCTGTGTCTCTTTTGTGAAGCGGCAAGTCAGAGATGCAGCTCTGCTGGGTGGATGATATCCGTATGCTGGTAGCGAGCTTCGTGTGCGTCTGAAAGGTGAGTCACTGTATTCTGGAATGTCGAGGATGCTAAGATTCTCTTCCAATGAGGCAGAAGGCATGATTCGAATGATATCGCAGTCGGGCAGGTGATCTGGGTGGTGAGTGCATCAAGCTATCAGCAGAGACGCCTGACTGGAGCTGCTTGGTGCCCCTCATTCGGAGATCGACCGGCCAATCGAGTGGCCACGCACCAAAATCGACGTCGCACGACTTCACACCTCGACGTGAATTGCTGGCTGGCAATGGTAGTCAATTGGCTGATACGCACAACCTCGCAAGCCTCGCAGCAGCAGGCGGGGAAACTCGGCTGGATCCATCACGGGCACAGATCGTCAAGCATAAGGTCATGTCTGTATTTTTGTGATCGCCGCGAAGCGAGAACACCCCAGTTCCTCAGTCATGTTGCGTCCCAATCTACGGAGAAACGGTAGCATGTACATGAAAAACTGCACGCCAACACCGCGAGGACCGCAAGCAAACTTGAAACAACGTCCAAAGCCGGGCGCTTAACCCTGCATCTTCTTTCTCTTGCCGATCTGGGCTGAGAAACCCGTCTTGATGGCCGTGACAGTTCTCCGGGAACCGCAGTTGTTGCAGTTGACGAAGTAGAGACGGTTCTCACCCTTGTTGAGCTCCGTGTTAGGGGACTTGCATGTCTTGCAGGTGACGTACTCGACTGTGGAGTGGTTAGCACTGCCATGGTCACGCAGAATGGGAGACGGGGGGCCGACTGACTGATGTACTTTCGCAGAACGTTCTCGATCTGCTTCTGCTGGAAGCGACCCTTGATGACAAGGCGTCGGCTACCGTCGACGGAGCCGCTGGTACCCAGTTCGGAGAACAGGTACTGGGTAACGTGCTCGTCCGTCCTCTTCATGCGCTTCGCAATCTCGGCAATGTTGGCGAAGATGGTCTTCTTGTTGCCTTCACGCACGCACTGGGGGGGCGGGATCTTGTAGCTCTTGGTGCCGCTCAGAGCGTGGTCGGGGTTCTTCTGCGACAGCTGGTGGAAGAACCTGTCGAGGAGCAGGGTGTAGCTCAGGGGCTTGTTCTCGTCGTGCTGCCAGATGCCGGTGCCGGCCTCCATGTCGCCCTCGTCGGCGGCCTCCTCGGGTGCAGCCTCGGCCTCGGCCTCGTCCTTGAGCTCGAGAGCCTTGAGCTTGGCGGCAAAGTCGTCCTCCTCGCCCTCCTTGGGCACCTTCTTCTTCTTCTTCTTCTTCATGGACAGGTCGAGTCCACCATCCTCGGCGGCGGCGTCGCCGGCCTCGTCGTCCTCCTTGACGACCTTCTTCTTCTTCTTCTTCTTCATGGTAAGGTCCAGGCCACCATCGGCGGCGGGGGCGTCGTCGCCTGCGGGGGCGGCATCATCGACAGCGGCGGCTTCAGAGAGGGGATCAGTAAAGGCTTCAAGGGCGGCGGCAAGCGGCGGCGTACGAGGCGTGTGCGACTGAGCCGAGTCCTTGGTTTCATCGGGAGAGTTGACCATGGTGACGGAGCCGTCGGCGTCAACAACAACTTCCTCGCTGGAAAAGGCGACCGATTTTCGCTGCTTGCGGTCGGGGAGTGCGGTTTCCTACAGAAAAGGGGGAGGAGCAGTCAGTACGGTGGCGCTCGGAGAACCGGTGGATGACGATGGAAATAAAAACTTCGACGTCGAAGGAAAATAATATACAGGTCAGGGAGTCGCGTTCCAGACGGGGTTCTTGTCGCTCGGTTTGGTCGTGGGTAAGGAAATGGTGGGGGGGAGGGAGGACGAAGAGGGGCGAAATTGGTGGTCGAGGCTGCACCAGCTGGAGAGGGCTAAACTTACCTCCATGATTGTGGTTGAGTTCGGCGAAAACGGATGTACCCTCTCGCCTGTCGTGTCGTGCAGGGTATATGGACCTATTGGGGCTGTCCTGGGGCGGAATCCAGTCCTGGAAATGCGGGCGTGGATGTGTGTGGTTGAAAGGTGTCGATCGATTGTGGTTGAAGAGGCCGATGGTAAGGAGGAGATGCGCCAGTTGGGATTTCTTTCTAGCTGGACAAACGAGATGGATTTCTAGAAGTGACGTTTGGCAAAACTATGGGCACTTTGATGCGGGCGGGCAGTGATCGCTTCGGTCCTTGCACCAGTATTGACTCCTGCTCAGAGGGGTAAGGGGCGCGCCACGGATTGGCCGTGACCAGGTGCCAGCGTCCGTTTAGAGTGGTTCTCGCCGTCGTCAGACGCAAAACTGCCCTGTGAGTCAGAGATCTCACGTGATACAGAGTGCAAATCGTTGGACTTGGCAGCCAATAGGAGTTGATCAAGGTTGGGACTGGGTGGGGTCGCCAGGGCACGTTCCCCGGCTCCTCATCCGGGCCGGATCGGCCTCTTGTTGGGTCAGTGCAGGCCAGTCTCGCGAGTGGGATGCGAATGAAGCTCCCCTTCGTCTGCCAAGCTCCCCCCAAGGCCATGCCACTTCTGCTGGCCGCTCCAACTTCTTAGCCTCGGGTTCTTGTGCCATCGAAACAGCAGCGATTCCCTTCTAGCATTGTCTTTCTTCACCCTCGCGACAGAGCTCGACAGAGCTCAACGATCAACTGCTGAACACGCCGGGTTCCTACCGCCACAAAGCGCCATGGCGTCCGCCGACTCTTTCATCATCCACGACGACAACTTCGCCTCGACCGACAATGACGAGCTCGATTCCCTGCCATCCATCTCCAGCAGCGTGATTGACTCCGAGGCCGACTCCGAGGCGCAGGCCGAGTGGGAGCGAAGCTTGGAGCAGATGCAGCTGATGCTGACCATGATCATTGTTCCCTTTGTCGGCAAATACTTTGGCAGGAAGTTTGCCTTCTGGAGTACGATAGGCCCCCTCCATCTCTTCCCTTCAATGATCTTGGAAGACTTGAGACTAACCAGTATCCTACAGGTTGGGGTCGCTACATGGAATGGATGCACAACGTCGAGATTAGGTGGACGAACAAGGCCAAGTTCAAGGCCGTGGGAGTGGCAGAGGCGGCGGCAACGCTGTGAACAGGGCGGCAGTTATCGTTTCGATGACGACTCAACTCTTGATGCATGGTCGATCGTCGATCGGGGTGCAGTCTATGGCCACGGGTCGCGTGTGTGCAAAAAAAGTACAAATATTGGCGTTGGGAGTTTTGGGAGGGGAAACGCATAGAACGACAGCCAGGGCGTCGCGTAGCTTTCCACATGATAAAATAAGGTCGATACAATCAGCATATCAAGCATATGGGGAAAGCGCATGGATCGGCGAACAATCGGCGAACAGTGGTATTGACTTCGACTTGTGAGCCGTGCATGGTGTAATCACTCGCTGCGTGTTGACGAAGTGCCTGCAGTTGGCACTGTCGATGCGGCAACATCACTCTCAAAGGCTTTTCCAAATCAAGCAACGACATCAATTAGGAGGAACTATTAAGTTGTCGTCCGCAAAGCCATTGCGAAGACGGGATCGATGTCACAGAATGATTCCGCCCTGTTGCGTTTCACGCCATAATTCATAACCCTGGTACCGCCTCTTTGTATACACATCCTGAACGCCCGCCCAATACTGAGCGTTCCTGTCGCGAAGGACAAGAACGCCATTCCCAGTAGTTGCAAAAGAGCACAGCGTCAACTCACGCAGCCAGTGCATAATGTTGGGCGCACGTGTGCTTGTTGTTATTGTGCTCATTGCCGTGGTGGTGGCTCATGTTGACAGTGACGATCACAGTCTCATGCCGGCCGAGCTGGGGGCGCTTACACGCCAACCTGGGCCATGTTGGGCCTTCCGCCTCGGCGCACGGAGCCGCCGCCGCGACGGAACTCCCGGACAGAGAAGAACATGCCGACAGCGAAGCAGGCAAACAGGAACCACATGAAGACGATGCTCGCCTGGATGGTGCGGCATCGTTTGACGACGTCGGCGGCGCCGTAGGCAATCCAGCTGCTGCCGCGACCGCGCCAGTTGCTGCAGTTGACGGCGCGGAGGCGGGCTGAGAGGACAATGGCGGCAATAAGAGTGAAGAGGGTGGCCAGGCCGTCGAGGGCGAGCACAGCGACGGGGATGGCGATGGAGTCGATAAAGGCCGTCAGGAGGCCGTAGAGAGCGGCGATCCACGACAGGACAATGACGAACATGGAGAAGTTGATGGCGGCCATGTGGCCATTTTGGTTGAGGTCAATAACATTGCCGATGAGGGCTGTGAGGAGGAGGATCCAGAGTAGCTGCAGGGCACGAATGCCGCTCTTTGCGAGGCCTTCCAACATGATGGCGGTTGTTTAGAATGCTGTGGGTGCGAAATGTGGGAAGGAGGATGAAGCAGGCAAAGTTGTTGATTTTCGGCAATGGCAGAGGAACAAGCTGGAGAGAGTAAGGTTGGATGATTGGGAAAGGCACAGGTTAGACGATCATGAGAGGTGCGTTGGGAGAGCAACAGTTCTTTAATACGGAGCGACTGGCCACGGTCTGCGCCCACGTCTGCGCCGGCAGGTTACGTCTGCCATGTCTGAAAAGTCGTTGGGCGCCGGAAAGGCAAGGGACAAGGTCAGTCGATGACCGATGACCCGTCAGATCAGGCCAGCAGCCTAGGCCACTACCACGGCGACCACCACACCACTTCTTCCCCCTTCCTCCATCCAGTACAGTGACGAGCCTGTGGATCGGCAGTTGCGGAAGCCATGACCTCATGTGCATTGGTACTTGCAGCAGCCCGCCAGCGTACGTACCCATGTCATCATCGTTCAGGGAAGAAAGCCCCGACACGCCAGGAGGGACCCTCTTTTCAGCTCCCTCGCCAACCACAATGAAAGCGGCCACCACTGACTGATGGCTGCTGCCAGTCAGTCTCTTTGAGAGGGGTTCTCTGCTTCCTTTGGGAAGCCACCCTACCAAGCCTCCCGAGCCTCGGCCAGTGGCACTCCCCCAAAGCACACTACCTTGGGTTGGTAGGGGACCCATCGCCATAGCAATAGCACGCCCTCCGGCACCTCGGGAACAGCATCCCCCAATCAATCCTTACCAGCGATCCCTACGCGAAACACATCACTGCCGCCCCTGCAGGGCCCTGCGGGTTTGCCCTATGGCCTGCGAACCTCACACGACCTGCATCGTTCTTCGATGCCCATGCTGTTTGGGAAACCGTCTGGGGAAGCGCTGTTCAACAACCAAGCTTTGAGAATAAGAGAACTTGGGGGGCGCAGTGCTAGAATCCGGATGCATTTCTCGCCAGTGTCATCTGGCCACGCTTGGCATGGTCTCGAAGCTCCGGTGGCTTGGATGCTCTGGTCATGCTCTACCTGCCTGCCCTAGCTGCTTGGACGGAGAGACAGACAGCTGTGGCCATGGCCTGGGATCTTGTCTCGGATGGATCGGTCCTCTTCAAAAGCTCTCTGCTATCACACATAACGTGCGTGCCTCAGGTATGACAGCATTGAAAAAATGGTCGCTGTGTGGACTGTCCAATACCGCGTGCGGTAGAGGGCCCGAGTAGCGCGACGGCTGTTCAGTAGCTCCAACACTGATGACGCAAATCAGCTCAGTGCTGTGTTCGGCTGCTGGCTGCGCCAAAGTGCCCAAGGGCCCCATAGGGCCGAACGAGTCATGCTGGTAAATCGAGCATTACGGACCTCTGATATATGACGTCTTTGCTCCGTTACACGCTACTCGGCATCTTCACAATCAGACTATAGTCCTGACCCTGCATTGAAGCGAACGCCTACTCTTGGACTACTCTAGGGAGAAAATGGGACGAGGCGGCTCTATGAACAATTAATCGTTTCCCCAATAGCATAACGCTGCAGTGGCCCAGGACGGATACCCCTCAGAAGCTCCTAATGTGCTCCCTTATCAGTTTCAGCTACTTCACCGGTTCAGACTCAATAAGCCCTCTATGTACTTCCGTGTGTCCACACCGATCCCCGACGCCAGGCGGCCAGCGCCCTCGCCCCAGCTGCTACCAGTCTCAGCAAATGTGCCGCTGAATCCTCTAGAGCTGGCGTGGTCACTTGCTCGCCGGATCAAGAAGATCTCTTTATCTACCCTTGGCTCTGGTGCAGGGGACTTCTTAATGAGTCGATCGGCGCTGGACTCGCTCGCTGCAGGGTCTTCTGTACTGGGGCTGGCCTCGTCGATGATGGCCTCTTCAGAAGTTTGAGCTTCTTCCTGAGATTGGGCTGAGCCACTCCGGTCCAATATCCGCTGCCAAACCACCCACCATCCGCGGTTTGTCTTACACGTCCGCTCGAGCTCGGTAACGTTACGACGTGTGAGGGCGTACATGTTCAGTAGTTGCATATGTGTATTGATCGCCTCAACACGTGACCATGCATCTGTGCTCTCTGAAGGTAGCTGGCTCGGGTCCGGTATGTTTGGCAGTGTTGAGTGGACGGTCAAGGCTGTCGGGTCCCAAATGACATCGTAAATGCTCGTGCCAGCAGCGCCGACGGACGGCCGTTCGGGGCGATATTTTGTTGACGCCAGAAGCGGCTTTTGCAGAGGGACCAGTTGTCGGTGCAGGTTCCGATAGAATGACTCCCACGAAAGGGAGTCTGTTCGAAGCTCAAACAAGAATGTGTAGATGAATGGTTTGTTGACATAGACCACGATTCGCATCTTCTTCGTTTTGTTCTGGCTGTGTGTCGTAAAGGTTGATGCAGAGGACGCAGGAACACCAGGGATCGGGGTTATCTCGTTGACGAGACTTCCGATGTTCTTTACAACCTGACTTTCGGAGAGATCTCGCTCTGCCTTCTCGAGTTCCACATGAACGGTCCGGAGCATTGTTCGAGCGTTGCTATCCTCTCTATCCGCATCGCCATGCTCACCTGAATCGTCGCCTTCACTAGCACTGCTCTCCTCGACATCTCCCAGAAGACCGATGAGGTAGTGGCCAGTGGTGTTGGCTACCTTCTTCGGCGCAGGGGCCTGAGCGCTGACGGCGGACTCGCCTTCAAGCTTGTCCGCGTCTTGGGCAAACTGCTCGTCAGACTTGCCGATAGACCAGTAAGTTCCATAGCCGAGTTTCATATAAGTCATGAATCTGTCTAGATGCCCGTCCGCATCTTTTGATCCATCCGTGGGGCTCTCATCGGATGGTGTGGGAACGTCAGGTGTCCTAGCCTCCGCAACTGTGCCAATGGTCTGGCCTCGTCGGTCAGCCAGCGTCTGGCTTGATATGGAGCCCTTTGAATCTGCAGAACCAATCGAAGGGCGAAGGGGGGTCCCCTTGGAAGACTTGGCAGTCTCCTTATCCCCCTTGGTAGCCTTCCCTCGCCGAGCTCGGCGCAATGAAGTTGGGCTATCGTGGACGCCGTAAGCGTTCGAGCCCCACGTGTAGAGATCCTCCATCCAGCAAGTCACGTCCCTTAAAGACTTCCGGGAGAGGCCACCCACTCCCAGAAAGATGGCTCCGTCATCGGGTCCGGGCTCTCGACCAGTGCCGAGCCATGGAGCGGTCGATCCATCGGGAGATTCAAGGTCCGTCACGTTGGAGCCGAATCTCGAGATAATCAGATCCTGAAGGCCTTCGATCCTGCCAACCAGGCCTTCAAGTACGTCTCGCTCTCCACTCCCGCGCTCCTCCTCACCGACGCCGATGCCGAGCTCGCTCGATGCAGCAATATTGATGCTTCCCAAAAGGCTGCGAGTCGGGTTACCCTGTAGCATGACATTCCAGGTTGACAGGAACCAGTCCCAGTAGCGAGTCAGAATACTGACGAATTTGGGTCGCCCAGTGCGCACAAACAGCGAGCTCAGAGAGAAGCCGTGGTGCAAGAGGAACGTGGAGTGCGCACGGAGCAGATCCTGTAACAGCAACGTAGCCGGCTTGATCTCTTTTGATGAGTACTCGGCCACCTCCTCGACGGGCTCACCAGTTTTGCCGGTTGGGAGCTTTGGCGGCAGAGGAATCTTGGTAAGTTCAATCGACTGTGATCAAGTTAGACACCAATGTTCCAGACAGGCCGCGTGGTCGTGATCCAGCTTACAACAAGAGCCCACCAACCAGACTCGATTTCGTGAAGGACGACGCGTGACTTTTCAGTGTCAATGGTGTCGACGGGCTGGCCCCCCGAAAAACTCTTGCCAAAGTCCACCATGCCTTGGGCAAGGCCAATCTGTCGGAGGCGTTCATTGCGCTCTTCCTGGGAGACATTCTCAGTTGGTCTACCCTGCCCGCGGGAGCGGTGACGGCGTTTGTGGCGTTGTGTGGTGACTGATGCGTAATAAACGATCTGGTCGTCAATAGTCTCATCGGTGATGCCGAGTGAGGGGTTGAAGATGGCGAGGAAGCCCAGCTGCGCGGGAACGATACCGCCTGGGGATGCCATGTTGTGCGGCCGACGTCTGTCGGTGTCTCAGTGACTCTGGTACCCAACCCGTCTTCTCGTCCAGACAGCTCTCCTCGAAACTCGTGTGGGGCACTCGAGAGTGAGGCTCCTCCAACCAGCTACCCACTCTTTGCAAGGTGACCTGCTGCCCGGACGTGGCGGAGGTGTTTCGGTTGGGGCCCTGCCTGCTGCAATCGACGGGCGGGGGAGGTATTTGTAGAGGAGTCTCCGTTGAACAGAAGATGGTGCGTTGATGGGCGCAGGATGGCAATGCGCTACACGACATGCACGAGGGTGGTTGTTCAGCTTGCGATCCCTGGCAGATCTAGGCCGGCCTGGTGTGTCCCATCCTGCTGGCGAGCGGCGCGGCCCTCCGTGATGTGCTCTAGCCGCCAGAGAGGAGGTAGGTAATTAGACAAGGTACTGGGGCTTCAGCGATCGAGATCAGTTCCCGGGGCCTCGGTGAAGCTGACTAAGGCGCTCTCTGCCTCTGCAATAGAAACATCAGTCTGGCCAGTGCATACAGGGATCCCACGACCTCCTTCCTGCATACCACCTGTTGCATGCATCAACATTCTCACAATTGTGTTCCGTCATCCTTCTGGGATAGGTACTTAGGGTAAGGTAGAGACAGCTCATCACGACCTTGCAGGTTCACACCATCGATCTCTGGCCTGAACCCCTCACCATGAGCATGCATGAATCTGTACAACATTACATCTGGTCAAATGAAGGACATCTTGATTCGCCTCGTCAAGTCTTCTGAACCCCTGCCACAAGGTAATCACTACATCGTTGCAGAGGCTGCACAACTCTCAAGAGCATCTTCCTGCCTCCACTCATCTCGGCCACATGGTGCGCTGCGGTTCCCTCCCAAACACCACCCGACAGCATCAGCATACTCACTACCAGCCTCTTCAATGACCTCGCGCTGCCAGTCTCGCGCCGCCAGAACGTCGTATCCCGTCCTCTCCATGTCGCTGCTGCCTACTGGCCACATCTTCCTGCAGGACTGCTCCTCAAGGACATCGCCGAAGCAAAGCTCCAAGAGGATGATTCCTAACTGATCTAACGACCGGCTGAGCTCCAGGCTGGCAGCATGCACGCCTTCTACACCTTTGGCACGCGAACCGATGAAATGCTGGCTCACGTGAGGCTGATCCAACTGTAGTACATCTCGCTGTTCTGGCTCTCGAAAGAACACTATGTCGTCCTTTTTCAATGACACCGGCCACCACTGTGTTTCGAGAAGTTGTACAAACGATGAGGCCAAATTTAAAGACAGGACATATCGCTGGCGCCGATTCGGTCGAGTCGGCACCTCACTCTGAAGGATCTGCGTTAGCGTCACTGACGTGATGTCCTGCCTCTTTTGATGGCGAGCTGTGAAAACAAAATATCGGCAGTTCTCGTCTGCCAGAAAGCCACGGCACGACTCGCCATCTGCGTCTAGCGAGGCACAAAGACTAGAGATTGGCCCCTTTTCTAATCCGTCGACTGCTGTGTCTTGTGGTATCAGAACCATAGAGGGAGTTGCCCTGAGCTCCATCAGTATCACGTCTTATGGGATCAGTCCGGTCCGGCCTACCTTGAGGACTTGACATCTTCAATTCGTGGCGTTGAACGCATCGCTGACTTTGCAGGTTGGTCTTGTCTGTGGTTCGGCTCGCTCATAACCAGGCTCTCCAGGTCTTCAGCAGCTCGATCGAGGGCAGTCGACTGCTCAGCATCTTCAGACATTATGGCCTTGCGCGTGGCCCATTGAGACAGCTCCGTTGCCTCGAACCAAAAATTGAATTCCGAGTTCTTCCCTGTCCGGTGCTGAAGTTGCAGGTTTGCGCAGTGTTGTTGGGAACAATAACAGTTCCAGGCGTCTGCGAGCAAATGAAACACCCTGGCAGCCTTCATCCAGAATTGGCATACCGCGTTGTCATCGATCCTCGACTTGAACTCTGATGCCTGTTGCACAAGGTGCGCATCTTTGTCACTGGAGTCCATGAGCTTCTCGAGCTTATCGTTGTAGGCTTGGAGCTCCGCAAACAGTTGAGTTCGAACACTCTCGCTATTGCTGAACTTGAATCTGTAGGACTGGAAGGCGCAGTCCAAGATACAGCCATACGTACACTGGCATCCGAAATCGACCGGAAGAAAATATCCGCCATCAAAAAAATCCTAGACTCCGGCGCCGACCCGAACCTGGCGGACAAGTTTGGTTGTACTGCTCTACATTGGATGCTGCGCTTGTTCTGGCGGCCGAAAAGCCGCAGCGCGCAACGGCCATCGAGCACACACGAGCAGTTACGATCCCCGATATACACCTTTGAACTGTTGGAAATGGATGTCAACAAATCGCCTTTTACGCACGGAGGCAACGTCAAATCGCGCAACTTTCCATGTGGGTTACCGCTTGCTGCTGCAGTCAGACGAGGTTTCGTAGAGGGAACCAAAGTACTGATGGGGTCGATATCGACCACTGCGACGATCTTAGGCAAACACCTCTTACTATTGCAGTTGAACGCAATCTAGTGGAGGTTGCCAAGCTACTCATTGATGCTGGGGCCGATATCAACTACTGCAGCGATATAGGCAGTCCACCTCTTGCTATTGCAGTTGAACGCAACCGAATGGAGGTTGCTGAGCTGTTCATTGGTGCCGGGGCCGATATGAACCACCGAGACAAATTTTGGAAAAAAAAAAATTAAAAATTTACTGTGGCAGCTGAACTCAATCGAGTGGAGGTTGCCAAGCTGCTCATTAATGCTGGGGCCGAAGTCGGCAAAATCAAATTGAGCGAGGTGGACGACGAGATGAGGAAAGTTTTAGTCGGGGAGACCTGACCGAAAGGCAACCATGGACTTGCACATATGGTCGACTCGTTTCAAGTCAGATGATAGCTCACGTACGATCAATTACAGTCAGTCTAAATCGGATAGTATTGCAAAGGTACAACGTAAAAGAAAAAACATCACATCATGTCGTCCCGCTACATCATACCACTCTACTGCTATACATGCATGCAAAGACCCCTTTAGTGGAACTGGTCCTCTGTGACGCCCTTGCCCATGGCGGCGGTGCTGCTGATGCCGCCGCTGACCATCTTGAGCAGCTCGTCGACGTAGCTGGCGCCGCTCCACTTTTGGTGCTTGACGACGTCGACGCCGCCCTCCATCTCGGGCTCCTGGACGAGCTCGCCGTAGGCGCGCATGCCCTGCTGGCTGTAGGCGCGGGCAAACTTGTCGCTGATGAGGGCCGTCGTGTGCAGGCCCGCGAGCGTGATGAACTGCCAGCAGTAGCCCAGGGACGCGAGGCGGCGGATGTACGTCTCCTGCTCGTCGCGGGGCATGGCCGTCTTCCAGTTGAAGGACGGGGAGAGGTTGTAGGCGAGCCTGTGGTTGTTAGCATCTGCCT